AACCCCACCCCACCCCCAGAAAACACGTATATTCTCCATCATTGAACACTCAGAAAAATTAAGAGCATCTGACAGCCTGGAGCCTCTCTGACAATTAGCCATGAAGGATCAGAACGGTGAGGAATAAAGAAGAAGGAGCCTCCTCTGTCTACAGTCTAATGGACAAGAACACGGCTAATCACAGGGGACACTTCAGGAAGCCACTTGTGTGACGGACAAGATGTGGCTTCTTTCTTCTCATGCACAGCCTCCATCCCAGGACACGGAGCAGTGACAGCATTGGACGCCTGCAATGTACCCAGAGTCACCCAACCCCACGTGCTGCGCAGGATCGAGACTCCCTGCAGGACCCCGGCCAACACCTAAGGATCTCTGGGTCACTTCTGCGTGCAGGGAGCTCACACTTCCACAGGCTTCTCAGCGCAATGGCGGGGAGCTCTATTCCACAGAAGAGGTTTCTTGTAGTTCTAAATGTGCCTCCTGTAACGCCATCCTATTGACTTTGGCTTTTGAAGCGACTCGTAAAAGTCTTGCTTGTAAGACAGTTAATCAAACATTTAAAGGCCCATTTACAAACATTCAAGGCATGTTTATAAATCAGCCATTATTCTCTCGGGTTTCCAGGCCCTTCACAATCTTGGTTGACCTTACTAGTCAAAAGACAATGAACACCAAATACCCAAACCTCAAATTCAGTCTGACTGGCAGAGTGAAAGGTCGTTACTTCTAATGCCCTGCTCATTCAGCTGCTATAATGCATTGTAACAGAGGGTTGGGCTTTTCAGAGAGATTTGTATCCAAATCTGTGAGACGATAACGTGGTTTACACCGTAGTCCATGCACTTAGCCATCTATTCCCTCAGTAACTCACTCACTCTCCCACCCATTTAATTAATCTTTTATCCATTTATCACATCAATCTTTGAATGACATCTTAAATTCTACTGATTCTTAAATAATGTTGACTAACCCATTATTCCCATGCCACCGAGGTTTGCAGGTGTTTTTCAAAAAGTGCCTTGGACTTGAGCAGTTCATTCTAACTTTCCCAAAATTCTTTCACATATGAAAAGGGCTTAGAATATTTTAAGGCAAAAAATTTTAAAGACATGGTATATCTATGTGCATTCCAAAATAATTGTTTAAGTCCGCACAAGCTCTGCAAGTCATAAAAGCTGCACAGATGCAGTGTGAAATGATTTCCTTGAGAAAATTCTCAGTTAATTAAGATATTCTGCCCGGCCGGGTGTGGCTCAACAGTTGAGCATCGATCGACCTAGGATCCAGGAGATCACGGTTCAATTCCCGGTCAGGGCACACGCCAGGGGTTGCAGGTTCAATCCCCAGTGGGGGGTGTGCAGGAGGCAGCCGATCAATGACTCTCTCATCTTTGATGTTTCTACCTCTCTCTCTGAAATCAATAAAGATCTATATATTTTTAAAAAGATATTCTTTTGACATGAGCATTTCTATATTTTATAACATTACCTCAATCTACTGTTCTACAAACACAGGGTCAAGGATACAGAGCCCCAGACCACAGGTCAGAAGACATAGGTTGCATTTTTGACATGGGTTTTGGTTCAATAAGTCTCTTAGAAGCTGTTTCTGTTTATTTCAATGTATACATATTCCAGTAACTAATAACAACATTTTCATCCTAGACACGTAAGGGGAAATTAGGAGCATTAACTGCACAGCCCACAAAATAACAAACAGAATTTGTTACCTATATGGGTATTAAACTAGGCATTGGGAAACCTGAGTTACAACCTCAGCTCTACCTATTTAGCCACAAGGAAAGTCATTTAACCAGCCTGGGCTTCAATGTCCTTCATTTGTAAAGTGTTGACACTGGGCTAAATGATCTCTGAGGTTCCCCCTGCTTGTACAGCTCTACTGCAGGTTCCAAATAAGGTGAGCAAAAGCACTCAGGGCATTTCACAGTTAGCTTCGTAGTTTTACCTACTGCATAGGTAATGTGTGTTCCCTCTGATGTTTAATGCCTGGATCCAAGGTGGCCAGCCATACTCTGAGAGAAAAAAAGGAACTCTGCTGCCCAACCAGGTGTCAGCAAAGAAGGAGTACTGCTGGGTACATGTGTGTGCTCACGTGCACACACACATGTGCCCATGCATGGATAGGAGGTAACTAAGCATGGAGACCACCAAGTGATCGTAATGTAACCCAATATCCTGCGGATTTCACTGCAAATTAATAGAAGGAAAGAGAGTTCCATAAAGTTTAAATGGTAGTGAAGTAATTCTAGCAACTGTACACTAACCCTCTGTATTTCCACATAGCTGAAGGAGTGAGCAGGAGGTGACTCACGTGTGACCGTCACCTGCTAAGCTAATGAGCAAAATGTGACAAAACAACTCAGGTTTCCAAAAAGCCAAACGACTGCTGAGTCCATACCAATGACTTCGGCGCACCTGACTTACCTTGACAAAAGGTGTTGTTAACCCTCTTATAACCTTGTAAACACTCCATCATTTGGTTATATCCATGATAAGCTGGAAGGGAAGAGAGAATTCTTTGTTACGTGCTTAGTTTAAATTCTTACAATCCTGAACTATATGTGCTAACCAACTCACTTAAGGCACCGGCAGTCCTACTCATTTCTAAGAGACCAATTCAATGCAAGTTCATTCCTTTCACATCACCCGTTTCTCAGTACACTTCAGAGCTTGCGTCAGACTTAGTCCCGATTACTTTCAGTAAATGCTGATCGTGTTAAATGAATCCTAAGCCTTTCATATTTTCTCCCAGTTAGTGATTCCTTATTTATATTACAAAGGATCGCTTCCCTCCCGATGGTCTGCTACAGGCACTGGGATTTTCTTATTGGAGGGCGGGTGACTACATGCTTGTCTGCCTGGGACAGTCCTGAACTATGCCTGATGTCCCAGCAGAGTTCCATTTCTGTCTCAAAGGTGCCGCAGTTTAGACGGTGCATGATATGCTCGCTGTAACCGCAGGATCACGTATCCTAGTTAGGAGCGAATTCTTACCAGTATGAACCTGGAAAGAACAGGAGGTAAGGAGGAGAGGCTAGGATCCGTTGCATGGATTCGTCACTTGGGAAACTCATCAACAATACAAACGTTGCAGTCATCAATTTGCCAATAAACCCCTATTTGCTGAAATTTGGACACTCTAAAGTGAAACCTGAGGGACTTCTTAGCATAGTCGAACTAGTGTAATTTCTGGGACCAAGGAGACCTAGTTGGAATCTTGGCTCTGCCCAGCAGCAGCTCTGCGACCTCGGGTTTCAAACGGCCATTCTGTGCCAGGAGAGTATCACATCTGCCGAGCACGCCAGGGGTGCTGTGGAGCTGCGAGATAATACACGCAAATGCCTGCAACAGCGCCTGGCAAAAGCAAGCACGCACTGAGGGACAGGTGTCGCTGTTGTTTCCTGAAATGAGGTATTCTTTTATTAAAAAGATTATGAACAACAGAAAGTGGGCCATAATCAACATAGGTTAGACTACTGAAAAGACCTGAAGAAAGGGGAAGCTGAAGTAAGAAAAAATAATCTTATGGAAAATAAAATTACTTTGCTTTCTCGGCACTAATGGAACAGGGTGAGTATTTACTACTGTTGTTCCTCTCCTCCATTTCCTTTCTTTGCCATATTTCCTCTACCCTCAGATCCTTCGGGATGCTGGAAAATGGTTAGAGGAAGGAAGGAGTCTTAGACGAGTGAGTTAAAAGGGAGAGGTCGGCTAGGGGAAGCTGCCCCGTCAGCTCCCTGGCCGAATGTCTAGTCGTCTCCACATAATAAAGATGTTCTGGAGCAGACTTCCGACAGAGGCTGTGGGCTCTCTGTGAATTGTTAAAAGGCGAAAGAGAGATGACAACTTGTTTAAAAAGTTTCTACAGTCATCTGCCTCGAGGCAGGGGGTCAGAGCGGAGGATCTCCTGAAGTCTTCCTGAGCTTAGGATTCAATGTTAATTTTCTTCTAAAATCTTTCAAAGGGCACGTGATTTGCTCACACTAAGTACATTTTTTAATAGATTGCAGGCTATTTAATGAAATCATCCGCAGATTTAAAATTTCAGTTTTCACAGTATAAACTGATCAACAATGAAAGGTCTTTCTGTATGTGGCTAAACAAAAACTTCAAATATTAAATAAAAGCCATGTGAAAACTGAAGTTTGAACTATTTTGAGTGCAAAAAAAAAAAAGACACAGAACACAAAACCATAGCACGTAAAGCCAAGGAAAGTCTGCCGTCTTCCAAGAGGAACATGGTTTAGAGAGTAGCACCAACCAAGGAAAGGAAAGTTGCTGAATGACACGGGAAGAAGGTGACCCCGAGCGTGTTTCGTGGGAGTGACACAAACCAAAGTAAATGTCAAGATGCTAACAGTTGACTTCATTCATAATCCATGCTGCCTCCCTCAAGTGGAATCAGTCTCTTCAACTTTATACATTAAATGAGCCGATGTATGAATTTCTTTTCAACAACCTTTAGTTAAAAGTGTCAGCAACTTTGTACTTTCACGTTCTGTCTTAATTATGATCAACATTAAAATATAGAGCTAACAAAACCATATACAGCAGATGGATTTATCCCCAGATGACACAATTCTAGGTTAGAAAGATAAAAGGTCGGGAGTAGAAGTTAGGGATTAAAAAAAGCAAAAATAAACAAACAAAAACTTATGATTCCCTTTACTCCTGTCATGCAACTTTGGGGTTTGGAAAAAGAGAGGAAAGAGAAGGAACTAAGCAAGAGATATATAGGGAAAGGGGGAAATGAAAAAGAAAAGTAAGGTATAAGATGAAAAAAAAGTGTTAGAGGACCAAAGCTTAGCCCCCAACCAAGCTGAAAGAACGGGGCTTGTCTTCCTCCAGGCCTCAGACTGAGCTGTGGGAATTACCCCCCCCCCCC